TCACTGTATTTAGAGGCAGGGAATTGGGAGGACTCTCGGCTTGTTGATTATTTCTTGGTTGTCCTCCCCATCCCCGGATTTTGCTTTCCTTTATCTCTACTGAGATAAAAGGCATTACTGGCCACACCCGTGCTCTCCTTCTATCTAACTAGGATGGTACGGGATTTCAGAAGGGTGCTTCCCACCCTTAATTCTCCTCTAAGTATTTAACAGATCATGGAGGATCATCACACAGCTTCCACATTACATCATATAATGATGAATACACACAGGGACACAATTCAATCCCTAACAATGGGTTGGTGATGGAATTCTCACTCTCCCATGTACAAAACCAGGCTCAATTCCAGGCAATGTATCTGATGTGCAAGCGCTATTCCTCTCTCCACTGAGGCTTGGGTTACCATGCTGAGTAGTTTTCAGTGGAGCTTCCAGGCTAAGACAGTAGAGAGAAAGGCCTGGACATCTGCTTCCAAAAAATCAACCACTGAACTCTCCATGGGATATGATGGTCTATGGGCTTTTGGGGTATGGGTTCACCAAGAGTCAGGGCAACTGAGGTCAGTTCATAACAACAAAGAACATTTTCCTAAACACACACACACACATACACACACACACCCCAAAAAACCAGAGTCATAGTAAGTTTTATCTGTATAATGATGGGCAATCTCCTCCAGTGTGATTAACTAGTTTGAAAACCTGCTGGAAGGTCCGTTATGGATCAGTTCTGATTCTGTGGTACATAACAGTTAAATTTTACACTTCGCAGTGAAGCTGTAACGTTCTAGTATTACCCATATGTGAGTGAACTGAAAAACACCTTTTAACTGCGGCTGACTCTGAGAAGAATGGGAATCCCAGGACACTTGATGGTGCTAATGAGAAACCTATACTTGGACCAAGAGGCAATTGTCAGAACAGAGCAAGAAAACACTGCATGGTTCAAAACTGGGAAGGGTGTACACCAGGGATGTGTCCTCTCTCCATACCTTTTTAACCTGTATGCAGAACAGATTATCTGGAATGCTGGGCTCTTTGAGGAGAAATGGGGCCAAGATTGGTGGAAGATCTATCAACAATCTGTGTTATGCAGATGACACAACCCTGCTTGCTGAAACTGAGGAGGACCTGAAATGCTTGCTACAGAGGGTCAAGGAGTGCAGCCTCCAATATGGATTGAGGCTCAATGTCAAGAAGACAAAGATTTTCACCACTTGACCCATTGGCAGCATCAGGATGGATGGTGAAAAGATTGAGATTGTTCACAGCTTTAGTTTGCTTGGCTCCACAGTCAACACTCTTGGCACCAGTAGCCAGGAAATTAAAAGGCATATTGCGATGGGAGAGTCTGTTAGGAACCTCTCCAAAGTACTGAAGAGCAAGTTGTCTCTCTGGAGACTAAGGTGTGTCTGATACAGGCCATGGTCTTCGCAATCACTTGTTATGCATCAGAGTTGGACAATGACTAAGGAGGATAGAGGGAGAATTGATACCTTTGAGCTGTGGTACTGGAGAAGAGTATTGAGGGTACCATGGACTGTTAGGAAAACAAACAGATTCGTCCTGGAAAGAGTTAAACCGGGTGGCTCCTTGGAGACAAGGATTCTGAGGCTCCGTCTAACATACTTTGGACATGTTGTAATGAGGGACCGGTCCTTGGAGCGGGACATCATGCTTGGGAGGGTGGAGGGACAGCGCAGGAGGGGAAGGCCCTCTATGAGTTGGATTGATTCAGTGACTGGGGTAATTGGGATGGGTGTGTCAGAGACAGTGCAACTGGCACAGGACAGAGCAGAATTTAGAGCTGTTGTACATAGGGTCGCTATGAGTCGCAAGTGACTCGACGGCACATAACAACAACAACATGACAAATTCAGGAGGCTTTCTCATCACTAGGCTATTCAGGTTAAGGCTGGTACTAAGCAGCAATGAGGAAACTCTGGCGACCTAGTGGTAAGAGGCTGTACTGCAATCCTGAAGGCACAGGGTTTGAATCCACCAGCTGCATTTCACGAAAAAGATGGGCAAACTCCTCCTGTGGAATTACGTGCCTTTGAAAGCCCTCTGGGAGAGTCAGCTACGGGTTGGTTCCAAAGAGACATAACAACAACATGCAGCAATGGGTTCCAGTATATCGGAGATGGTGAGGATGGCACCTGATAGGTCGGGATTAAGATCTATTGTTCACAGGGTCGCTGAGTCAGGCTAGACTTGACTGGACCTAACAACAGGAGGCAACAGCTAGATACTGGGGCCTAGCTACAAGTTGCCTGGAAGAGGGAGGAAACTTGGCCTAGGTTTTGGCCTTCCACTCTGGAGCAGGGACTTGAGTTTTGGAAGCTCTAGAACCATGGAGTCAACTACAGGCTCAAGCCGAACTAGAGTTTTAGCAATCTGAGGACCCAAACTGCGCCGCCAGCATAGGCGAGCAGGACAAGGGGTAGGCCGCAGAAGGACAGGCCTTGTTGCCCTAGGCCAGTAAGGCCCCCAGCCCGCCACCGAGGGGGTGGGGCGGCCTCGCCTCGGGCCCGTTCGGTGCTTTTAGCCCTTTCTTGGCCGCCAGAGGCTCCCTCTCTCTCCCTCTCCTGGGATTTTACGGCCGGGCTCCCTCTCTCTGCGGCCCTAGAGTTAATTCCATCAGCCGAGGTGAGGCACCTGTTACCCCGGGCCTTCCTCACCCCCCGAAGCCTCCCTCCATTCGAGCCGGGCCTCG